CCAAGTGGCTTCACAGGGTGTATTTACCATAACCACAGTCCAAATATTTTTTGACCACACCTCGTGTGAACTCATGTACTCCTGGCGAAATCATTTCTTATGCCATCAAGAAAAGCTGAAATGCTTATATGTCTTTACAGTATTACAGTCAAGTACTAGATTGGCAGTTACGTCTCATCCTTTTACTGTTGAAATTGAAAAGTATAAGCGTAAGTACTATTCTAATGTTTCCTTTACTCGCATGACTAGTTTGTAGAACCCTCTTCCATGTTTCCGACTTTCCTGCCAATTAGGATCTTCAGAAATATAATTGCAAAGTTAACTGCCATCTTTTTGAATTTGGTCTTTTAATACCCTCTTTCTTCAACATTTTCGCAGATTATTTAACTTCTCAGTAATCCCTTGGATTGTAGCGGCTTTATCGCCTTGCTTTAGGTGAAATGATAAGAAAATTGATTGGTGGTTTTTTTATGCAAAAAACCTATAAAAATGAAAGATTTATCTCCACGTGGATGTTCAAAGGAGGCGAAAGAATGTTGTTTGAGAGCCGAGAGGGCACACGTAGGAGAATTTTCTGATCCCCTAGTCTATATCATCCAATAAAAACATTACAGTAGTAATAATCTGTGAAAATATACGATGCGTTCGGCAGAGGAGGGGCATATTCAACATTTGAAAATTTGCGGCAATACGCGCTTAAAGGTTTTAGGCAGCTTGGATCAGCATTTCATTGCATGGTTAGCCGTAAGTAATTGTAAATACAAGACGACCTTACACTCATGTAAAATAATAACAATAATAATATTTATTAAGAATTTATTAAAGGAAATATAAATTTTTACGGAAACATTGTTGACAATTATGTATTTATTTACATAATAAATAAATAAAAATAATATAAATTTTGATGCTATATTCCATTTGTTGTTCAGTATTTTTTATTTTCTCCTTTTTTATTGACAGCATTTTAGAATACTTTGTCTGCAATGCTAAGTTTCGTAAGGTGAACAAACTGGAGCTATTTCGTTTACGCTTTGTCACCTCTCTTTTTCATTGTTGTTTTTCGATCGATTACTTCCAGACAATCTGAAAATTTAGAATGATCTTATTCCATTTAAAAAAATAAAGCCTGTAAAAAGGAATATTTTAAATTAATATACGACTAAAAATAAAATTCTTTTGATTTAGAAATTACCGAACGTTAATCCGAGCCGCGCTACTAACAAGGTATTCACTGAAGTGGTTAATTATCTTGAGTTGACTTTTATTTCTTTGTTCTTGTTACGTATTTTTTGCGGTTGTAATTAAATACTGCTTTATCTTAACATTGAAGTGTTGAGTTTTACTTAATAATTAACGGCCGCCGTACGTCCTGAAAGAAAGAAATGTAATATAAATTTTGAAGCTATATTCGATTTGTTGTTAGTTATTTTTCATTTTCTCCTTTGTTATTGGAAGCATTTTAGAATACTCTGTCTGCAATGCTAAGTTTCCTAAGTTGAACTTGTGTCATCATTTGTACTCTGGAGGCACCCATCATCTGTCAATCGATCACGCAAGTTAACCTTTCCAGATAGGATAAAACGTGACACATTGATCCCTAAGGAAGATCTTTTTGGTGCTATGACAGATAGGGAATACTGGAGAGGTGTAGTGAGTTCAATCTCGGCTGAGGTCGCAAGATGATGATGATGATGAAGTTGAACAAACTGGAGGTAGTTCGCTTACCCGTTGTTAACTCTCTTTTCCAGTGTTGATTTTATATCGTTTTCTTCCAGTCATTTTGATGGGTAATAGCGAAATTCTGAAATGTAGAAGGATTTATTCCATTTTAAAAATAAAACCGGTAAAAAGGAATCTTTTAAAGAAATGTACGTAAAAAATGATTTTGACAAAAAAATCATGATGCTTTCACTAAAATTATGTAACAATAATTTAATGATAATCCCGCAGACAAATCTACGGTTTATGTTACTTCATCTCATTGCAGGGTTACGAACTATGAACCTAAATCGAGCTTGGAATTTTGTGCAATCGGCTTTAATTTTTTGTAAAATACTTGGATGAGATATAATGAATAATTTGAATATGAGGTAACGAATAATTTGCAGTCAAAAAGCAATTTTCGATTTTTTTGTTGAATACGTCTCTCCTCCGCCGAACACATCATATATTAAGGAAGAAATTTCTGTTAGCATATGCTGCCAGCATTATACTGTTTGTATTCAGTGATTCGAGTTGGTCCATCTTATATTCACTCTGGGGTTAATGATAATAACAGTGATTAAATTATCCGTTTCAATACGGAAGACTGTTGTGGAGTAGCTGACCACCCGCACAAGATGGATTGATCTAAGAGTCTTTCTTGCTGAGCGAGAGCAGTTAACGATTACACTTATCTCTGCTTATCGTCTCTTTGCCTTCGGGCGGAGAAGAACTCAGACGAGGTTATGCCGGAGGGCAGAATCTCATCTGGGAAGGTAGACGGATAGCAGACACCGTGTATACTGTGTCTACGTGCAAACTTTGCCCGAGCCTATGGGCTTGAAACGCCAAACGTTAAAAACCGGCCTTGTGCCACATCCCATCCTGTGGTGAGGTCTCGGGTAATTAGCGAGGAGTTAACGATTAATTGTTTATCACATTAGTCTGTGTTATCAATCATATACCATATTATTCTCCCGAATAAACTACGTCTTATTTCCTGTATGTGGGTCAACCTTTCCTATTTATGACACAGCAGAAATATTTGACCTTCAGTGCCTGAAGAGTTAGTGTTACCAAATCATTATTTTTTTCCCCGAATAAACTACGTCTTATTTCCTATATGTGGGTCAACCTTTCCTATTTATGACATAACAGAAATATTTGACCTTCAGTGTCTGAAGAGTTAGTGTTACTGTTACTATTTTCTCCCGTTGAAATCAACCTTTCCTATTTATGACACAACAGAAATATTAGACCTTCATATTATTCTCCATGAATAAACTACGTCTTATTTCCTATATGTCGGTCAACCTTTCCTATTTATGACATAACAGAAATATTTGACCTTCAGTGTCTGAAGAGTTAGTGTTACTCTTGGTTGAAATCATATACCATATTATTCTCCCGAATAAACTACGTCTTATTTCCTATATGTGGGTCAACCTTTCCTATTTATGACATAACAGAAATATTTGACCTTCAGTGTCGGAAGAGTTAGTGTTACTCTTGGTTGAAATCATGTACCATATTATTCTCCCGAATAAACTACGTCTTATTTCCTATATGTGGGCCAACCTTTCCTATTTATGACATAACAGAAATATTTGACCTTCAGTGTCTGAAGAGTTAGTGTTACTCTTGGTTGAAATCATGTACCATATTATTCTCCCGAATAAACTACGTCTTATTTCCTAAATGTGGGTCAACATTTCCTATTTATGACACAACAGAAATATTTGACCTTCAGTGTCTGAAGAGTTAGTGTTACTCTTGGTTGAAATCATATACCATATTATTCTCCCGAATAAACTACGTCTTATTTCCTATATGTGGGTCAACCTTTCCTATTTATGACACAACAGAAATATTTGACCTTCAGTGTCTGAAGAGTTAGTGTTACTCTTGGTTGAAATCATATACCATATTATTCTCCCGAATAAACTACGTCTTATTTCCTATATGTGGGTCAACATTTCCTATTTATGACACAATAGAAATATTTGACCTTAAGTGTCTGAAGAGTTTGTGTTACTCTTGGTTGAAATGTATAAAATCTTTTTATTAAAACATTTTTTTAATATATGTTTTGAAGAAATTAGACTACTTGGCAAACTAATTGTCACATCTCTTTCTCAAAGTGCTATGTATTTTTCTTCCAATTTCTTTTTTTCTTTTTGTAGTGTGGAAAGTTAACAGATTGATTATGCAATTATTTACAATGATTACTGTTGAACGTGTTCGTCTGATGTGGTTACAGAAAGTACTGTGAAACATGGAATGTTCCATGTATGATCTGCGATGTTCTCTGTTGAACAATTCTCGTTAATCTGGGTAGGTCATTTGAGATTGATAGCTCTTAGATTAAGATATAACTTGTTTATAATCAGTGATAAGACAAAGAGATTGTCAGCTTATCCAATCATGAAGAGAAAATGATTTGCAAAGACTTCGCCATGCGGGGAGGGGTAATTGATGACATAACTCAATTGCCTTGTTTACGGAAGAAAGTCTTAAAGACGATGAAAATTGGATAGTTTACAACAATGTGAATAGCAATAAATCATCAGATTACTGATATCAGTCACTGTAGCAAAGTCCGATTTTCAAGCCTGGCGATATTTATGTGATGTAGTTGGATGTGATTCTTTGCCACTGATTCTTTAGAGAGAATCCAATAATTGACTCGATTGCCGTTGCTGTTGTTTTTATTTAGCGGGTTATTTAATGCCGAAATTATATATTTTGTATGTGTTATGGGACCGTACCCATAATAAAATAATGGACTATTCCATACGTAATAAATATTGCGCATCAAGAGGAAGCAGGGAGTTCAGTCTGAAGTCTGGAGTGAAGTCCGTCAGGAGTCTGTCAGTCAGTCAGTCAGAGCGAGCGAGTTAGTCAGTCGAGTCAGAGGCAGTCCGAAACAGAGTCGCGTTCAGACAATTACTACTAAACCTGATTGTTCGTACTAACACTTTCCTACCTCTCTGTATATATTCCTGTTTGTAATATATCTGTGTTATTCCATATCCGCCTTCGAAATCTTCTTCTTTGGTTCTACCTTGGACTATCACCGTCGTACAAGGAACCGGACCATAACAGTATGTAATTTTATTTTAGACTTTTTGGAGATAATAATGGTTTTTAGTAATATAAGTCTTAGTAATTAATCTATAGCTGAAAGTAGAAAGGGTGGATTACTGACTATGTTCGTAAGTTAATATAACGAACACAGTTGGAACTGGAACTTGGCTCTCCGCGTAATTATCCATTACGCCATGCGCAAATCCAAGCTTACAGGACCTGGTATTCACGAGCTGTCACCCATCTAAGTACTGACTAGGCCCGATGTTGCTTAACTACACGGATCGTACGGGAACCAATGTTCCAACGTGATATGGCCTTGAGACTCTTTATTTGAAAAATTATTCTGTCGAACAACAGAAGGTAGCAATCGATAATAAATATCTGAAATATTAAACAGAAAGGAAATATTTCATCAGGTTACTGTATGACCGTATGTTTTATTATAATTGTTATGGGAACTTACCCATAATAATAATGGACTATTCCTGAGATTATAAATACTGCGCCTCTCAAGAGGTATGAGGATGTTGTAAGACGAGGAGAGATAATTGAGAGCATATTGTAAGGACATTGGAATAGTGAGACTTGTCGAGACAATATAGTTCACTCTAACCAAATCTGATAGTCATTACTAATACTTCTACTTCTTTGTGTTGTATTTCTGTTGTAATATATCTTTGTATTCCATACCTCTGTTCGTTTTATTCTTTCATTGATTCTAACCTTGGACTATCACCGTGGTACAAGGAACTTGGACCATAACAATAATAAATGAAAAAAAAAACATGTTTTCTGATTAGCATGGATGTATGTAAACAAGCGGTGTATTCGGCAGATTTTTGCATTTTTGATAACATGCTATCGAGAAAAACGTTTTTAGCGCCATTATATTTGAAAATCATTTCGTAGGTCGAAGTGATAATAGGGGTTCAAATCCAAATAAAACTCAAGGTTAATTGGTAGGTGGCACTTTGTCCAAAAAGAGGCTAATGCAAATACACAAGATACAATTGATATGAGACACTTTCATCTAAAGTGGAGGTGAACGCAAAGGACATTTCTGCAGGGGATACTTTCCCCCAAAAGAAACGACTAGCAGCCAGAGCCGGGGGTTCGACGCTTATTCTTACAAGCCCCCCACCATCAACCCACACCAACTTATCTGCATGACTGCACTTTTTCTTTTTAACGAGTGCCTAGGCCAATTCCCGGATGGAAAAAAAAAAAACTGCCTCCAGAACACCGGATGGAAACTCTGCCAACGGTAGCCCGGATGTAACAGGTTTCAAAACTAGCGATACATTTTCAGCTGTTTTTTTTTTTTTTTTTTCTTTTTCCCTCAGCCGATCCGTACGGAATTTGGAGTCTTTTTTTTTTTTTAAAGTAATCATGTATATCTTCGCCAGAGGTTCTTATGTACAAAAATGTTCCCTTGACACATCTTGATGTTTAGCTTATACATAAATAGATTATTCTCTTTTACTTGTAATTTTTATTGAGAGGCGATGAAAAGTAGATACCTTACAGCAACATGAAATTACATGAACATCTACTAATAATATCAAATGTCGGTTTCAACAGTAGTTTACAATTACCAGAACCAAAATTGCTCAGATTGATAACAACACTAGTATGTAAAATTTCTAATCATCCGATTGTTATTTTTGTACTTATGAATTCGCATATCTCCTTAATACAAAGAAAATATAAAATAAATATCTAGCTGATGAATTCCTGATTATCAAATAAGAAAGTATTATTGCTCAAAACATATTTTGAAAATTGTTATCGGCACTGATGTTTTAAAATTTGGAAATTACTTGAAAAATAAAACAGAAATGTGTTTTTAAATGTTTCAAATTTCAATCTGTTGACTATGGAAGGCAAAACGATAAGAATGAAAAAGAAGACGACTTTAAAATAATCTGCTATTATTTTCCCAATATAATATAATGTTATTCAGTAAAAAAAAACCCAAAAAACATTTTTTCAAGGAAACTATAATTCAGTTCTTGTGATTATTTTACGGGTACATTGAAAAGGCGCTCATTGTATGTTCCTTAGCGCTTTTAAACGATAATATACGTAAAGTTGCGAGAAACGGCGAGAAATTACGCAGGACGGACATTAATGTAAAATTGTTATTCGGACATTGTTGCACTTTCTTTCTAACAAGTATCTTAATTTATTCATACATTTATAAAAGCTTATTTTTATTTTTTGATTTTACAATATTCTGGAAATATTACTTATAACATTTCCGTGTTCTTTTGCAGTAATTTAGCAAATTAACAAAAGAAAAAGAAAGATATTTACATCTACGATTTTTAAAATTGTCTACCTCCATTATCCCTAGCACTTTAACGCTGTTTGCAAAAAAAAAATAAACACTTATCTAAAAGTGTTATCCAGTGTTTACCTTCGAAATGCACTAATTGTGTCCTAATATGGACATGATTTTAGTACAGCTGAGAAAGAGAACCGCAAAGTTAACTCTTTTATAATACCCGAAATTATCGTAAGAAAAAAACGAAATGTTTGTCATATCTGGTTGCATAAAAGACGCAGGAGCATATTACACCCATTCTCATTTCAGTAGAGAATATTCACGAAAAAAAAAAAATCCCTACGCCCTAAATAAACGCATAAAGGCTGGAAGGTCATTAGGGTTGTACGTACTGTCGAGCTAGTTCTGATATTCATGAGTCTACAACGCCCACCATCACGGGTCTGTATTAAGAAGGAAATGACATTAGCGTGGCTTATTCTGTCGAGTTCGCTCTGATATTCATCAGTTTATGATGCCAACTATATCACGGTTCTCCATAAAGGTCGGAAGGTCATTCGGGTGGCATATTTTGTTGATCTCTCCCGGATATTCATGAGTCTACCACGCCCACCATCACGGGTCTGAATTAAGATCGAAGGTTCATTAGCGTGGCTTATTCTGTCGAGCTCGCACTGATATACATGAGTCTATCACGTAAACCATCACGGGTATGCACCAAGGTCGGAAGGTCATTAGGGTGGATAATTTTGTCGAGCTCGCTCTGATATCAATTTATCCTGCCAACCACATCACGGTTCTATTTTTTTAAGGTCGGAAGCTCATTAGGTTGGCATATTCTACTGAGATCGCTCTGATATTGAAGGGTCGACCACGCCAACATTCAAGCATATGCATTCGTATCGGGCTGTCATTAGAGTGGTATATTCTGACGACCACACTCTGATATTCATAAGTCTAACACGCCAACCACAACAGGTATCTACATTAAGGTAAGGCCCTCATAAATTTGGCCTATTCTCTCGAGCTCATTCTTATATTCCCGACAACCATCACGTGATTGCATTAAGGTCGGAAGGTCATTAGATTTGCTTATTCTGTCGAGGTCGCTCTGATATTCAAGGGACTATCATGCCAACCATTCCGGGTCTGCATTAACGTCAGAAAGCCATTAATTTGGCATATTCTGTCGATCTCGCTCTGATATTCATGAGGCTATCACGCTAACAATCACGGCTCGGCATTAAGGTCTGAAGTTCATTAGGGCTGACTATTCTGTCGAACTCGCTTTGATATTCATAAGTCTATCATTCGAACCATCACTGACCAGCAACAAGGTCGGATGGTCATTAAGGTGGCATTCTGTATCAGAACATAGCTGGTCAATAGAGTTGGTTGCTGGGCGATCAGCCCTTCTTGCGCCGTGGTTGGTGTCTAGAGCAATAGATCGCTCGTCTTTCTTGTTTTGCTCGCCAGCAATGTTCTGCTAAGCTCATTTTACGTTAGTTTAAAATTGTAAAATTATCATGGATGATTCCATACAGCTGTGATTTAGTTGGGTGTTGCTTCTATGAGAGGAAGCGAAATAAATTCAACTGAAAAGCGAAACACTTACGAACAGAAATCTCTACTACGCCACCATCTTAATCTGGTTGCTACCCGAGTCTTCTATGCTATTTAAACTCTAGATAGGGAAAATGTGTTCATGCTTTTTACAACAGTAATTTTGCGAAATTAGCGAAACAGATTCAGTCAGAATTTGAACTTGAAACTCCGATTTTATTTCCCACTTGGATAACTATTTCGCAACAAGCACATTCTAAACGATACTGGGCGAGAGAGTTAAATAATGCGCATACTGGGAAAATTGAATGTGGCAAGAATGCATACCATTCTTAACTGGATGAATATTTTCTGGTTTGTACCTGTTCGGAATGAGGCGCATATTTTTATTTATTTATTTATTTATTTTGTCGGATAGTCTTCGCAACATACGAGCCGTTCCTTGGAGCAGAGAACCCGTTGATAAAAATCAAATCTTCCTCTCATGAAAACGCATCTGGCTCAATGACCGAGCGCTCAAGTACCAATTACGCATGCCATTTTTTCGATGACTTTTTCTTTTTCTCCAGTTCTAGACGCAGCTTAAATCTACTTGAGCCACCATCTCATTCGCTGACCCGATTTCAACAGAGCATTTGTCAACGCCAACATATCAAGAAGATGCATAGTCAAATACAGCAGAATGACAAATTGCGTTTTTATCTCAAGGAATCGGATACCAGTGCGCTAAAAAGTACTTGGCTTTTCACAAAGTGGCGCACGCATATACTACTACTACTACTAATAATAATAATAGTAATAATAATAATAATAATAATAACAACAACATAATATAAAAATCCATTATGCTATATAAATATTATCATATATTTATGTTATTGTTGAAACTTGACTAATGCATGGAATAATAATGCAACACAAAAGGTACTTAGAACAAAATGTATTGAAACAAGAAAGTGTACACAATATTTACATATAGTCTTTTGTATATTCCTGGTAAGACCGTTCCTGGAGAATGTGTTGACTGAGTCGCAGTCGGGCAGAGTCTCTGGTTGAATCTCTTGATTCCTCCCTCTCTTCCCGGTACCAACCATATTTATATGGTCGGTACTCCAGTATGCAAATTAGGTGGATCCTACCACAACACTTATTATATTACTCTATTTAGTATATTCATATTATTAATCTATGATTATTTTACGGTATATTATTAAAAATTATTTTATTTTAAAATGTGTAATAATAATAATAATAAATATTATTATTATTATTAATGTGTGTCTGGCTCGGCTTGTCGGCATCGGATTTGCGCTCCTTTTGTTCTTGGGCGCCAGCGGCGGACTATCTCAGCAAGGTGTTTCTTCTATAGTACCATTTATTGTTGACTCTATTGAGTTACAGTGTTTAAAATGGTTGACTATCGTCATAGTTCTTTTTTGTAATTTGAGAGTTCATACAGGGTTACT